GTTTTTCATAATAAATATTTTTAAAGCACACACACCAAAGGAAAAAAATTTCAACAAACTGTTGACAGTAGTTATCTCAACAGGTAAAGATTTTGAGAGATGTTTACTCACTACTATGTATGTGATATCTGAATGTTTGCACCCCCCCATCACATACATACAAACTTCTATGTTGAAGGTTAATCCCTAATGCCACAGCATAAGTGGGACCATCTGGGGACATGATTAAGTCATGAGGGCTCTACCCTCATGAACAAGATTAGTGACCTCATAAAAGATAAGGGAATGTATTTGCCCCTTCTGCCACAAGAGGATACAACAAATAAGTGCCATTTTTAGCAGAAAGAGAGCCCTCAACAGATAGCAAATATGCTGGCACCTTGATCTGGAACTTCCCAACCTCTAGACCAGTGAGCAATAAATTTCTCTGGCTTATAAATTACCCAGTGTAAGGTATTTTCTGTAACAGCCCAAAGAACTAAGACATGCTGTTTAACCTTTTATAACTTTGTCTTATGTTTGTAACTAGGGAAAAAGTCTCAAAAGTTATCATTTGAGTCCTAAAGTACTAAAGTTGTGAACACATAGGTTATTCACACAGCAAATGTAGCGAAAAAAAAAAAAAAAGAAAAAAGAATATCAGCTACTTTCAAATCACCAGTACAACCCAACTTTCATCATTATCAATACCACTTGCAACACTGCACTTAATATTTGTCACTTCTTTTATTTACTTATTCATTCAGCAAGTATTTATTGGACATCTAATAATGCCAGGCACTGGTGTAGGTACTGGAGATATAAGACTACAGTCATACACCACATAACAAGGTTTGGTCAACAAAGGATAGCATAAATGATGGGGGCCCAACAGGATTAAAATGGAGTTGAAAAATTCTTATCACTTGGTGATATCACAGATATCCTAACTTTGAAACACAATGCATTAATCACATGTTTGTGGTGATGCTGGTGTAAATAGATCTACTATACTGCCAGGCATATAAAAGCATAGCACATACAATTATGTACAGTACTTAATCCTCGATAATGGTAATAAATGACTAAATTATTGATGTATTTACTACACAGTACTTTTTAATCACTATTTGAGAATACCCTGTTTCTACTTAAAACAACAAAAAGTATGTCATATTACACCAGCAGCAGCCTCATCTCAAGTTTACCGTGTCTCTTGATTGTACCATGGGGCCATGTTGATCGAGAGGATTTTGAAGGTCACCCAAAGAAATGATAAATGTTCAATGTGATGAATGTTCCAATGACCCTGGTCTAACATTATACATTAAAATACATGTATATTGAAATGTCACACTATATCCCAAATGCATTCTTATATGGTGGGCTGGGGATTTAGCTCAGTGGCAATGTGCCTGCCTCGCAACCGCAAGGTACTGAGTTTGATCTCTGGTACTGCGAAAAAAAAAACAACTTACATGTCAATTAAAAATCTTTAAGAATATATTTTTAATTAACTTTTTAAAAAAAGAGGCTACATCAAATGATTGACCAACACCATCTAGCTTTGTCTAATTTCCTTCTATGCTGCCCACACAACGACAAAACCATCTAATGATACATGTCGTTGCATATAGCAACCATTAAACAATGCACAACTGCTGTAACTAGGAAAGACAAAATCCCTTTCCTGGTTCCCAGATGCTCCTCCCCCGCTCCCTTTGGCCCAAGGTCAGGAGCATCTCTGCTGAAAGTCCTACTTCAGGGCTTTAGTCTCCATCTCATTTCCTCCACCAGCCCCCCAAAAGATCGCCACCCCTATGGGGACACTCAAGAAACTTGGGTGCAAACAGCTGATGGACATTTTATATGCAAGCCAAAGCCTACATTCCAAAACAGAAACTCAAAAAGGAAGAGAAAAAAAATCATATTAATGTAATCACTGGATTTCACTCATGGCCTCTTCACAGTACTCCCCAGGAAGCCTCTTCAGAAATATGAAATAGTTCCCCAGAAGAGAGATTGACTAGGATAAAAAATCTACATTCCGCATAACCTAGCCTCTGATGATAAAATGGCTCTTGATGACTGACTGCTTTTAAGAAATGGGAGGGGCAGTCTCAAGGTTAACAAAAGGGCCTGGAGATGGCTTGTCTTGTCCTTCAATTTCCCTCACCTCCCACTCCCTACTTGAGAAATTTTTTTTTTTTTTTTGTACCAGCAGAACCACTGAGCTAAATCCCCAGCCCTTGAGAATTTAAATATTCAAGAAAAACAAGGTGGGAGCATATTCAAACAAATAAAGAACAGTGAACAAATAGCCCAAGTGCATTTTAAAGATACACAGTATATTAAATATTGTTGAGGTTTGTGATTATCATCATGGGGTATCATTTATTGTCTACAACGTGCCAGGCAACATGATAAGCCTGATCTGTGCATTAACTACATATACATTCCTCCCATTTTGCAGATGATGAAGCTGAAAACAAAGCACAAATAAAATACTGAAGGTCACTAGCGTAGACGTACAGCAATTTTGCTTGTGCAGCACCCTCACTCCTCTGGGTAACTGCACATCCCCAGTCTAGGAGGTCTTGGCAATCACAGTGGCCTGACCCCTTTAGAAATTCAGACCACACTGATTCCAACACTTCATGTCCTGGCAGGCAAAAGACCCAAAGCACAGCCAAGTAGAATCTTCCCTAGTATCTTATAACTACCCAGTGAAATATAATCACGGAGAAGGGTGTAGCAGCCGGTCTCCAAACACCCAGTGAACCATGCCACTTGGGATTCATGTGCTGTGGGCAGCCCATGATTTGGGACTGAGATCATATGGCCTATAAAACTTAAAATATTTACCATCTCTCCCTTCAAGCAAAGGCTTGCTGAGCCCCAATCTACATGGTTTCTAAATCCAGTAGAACACAGCTATTATAATCTGAATGTGAAACGTCCCTCAAAGGGTCAAGTGTGAAAGGATTAACTCCCAGCATGGCACTATTGGGAGGTAGCGGCACCTCCCAAGAAAGAAGTCACCATGGAACATCTTAGGCTACAGTTCCCTGATGTCTGACATAGACAAGCAGCATGGAGAGCGACTTTCCTTAAAAGGTGGGGCTTGGTGGGAGGTCTTCCAAGCCCTGGGAATACGCCTTCGCCTTCGAGGGGAGAGCAGGTCCCCAGCTCTTCCTCTATGTTTTCCTTTCCCAGCCATGAGGTGAACAGGCTTCCTCCACCACACACTCATGCCATGATGTCCTGCCTCACCTCAAGCCCATAAGATAATAGACTAAAACTTCCTAGACTCTGAGCCAAAGTTTCCACGTTTGAAGTTATCTCAGTTATTTTATTACAATAGCAGAAAGTTAACTAACACAGCAGCCAGAAAGATTCTATGTCCCTTCTAGGACTAAGCCTGAAGAAAGCCTGTTAGCTTCCACTTTTGTGCTCTTGGGAACCCTGACCTGCATGTGGGAAGTCTGGCTACCCTACTAGAAACCATGTAGATTGGGGGTCAGCAAGACTTTGCTTAAAGGGAAAGCTGGTAAATATTTTAAGTTTTATAGGCCATATGATCTCAGTCCCAACTACTCAAATGCTATTATAGTGTGATAGCAGCCGTAAGTAATACAAAAACAAATGGGAGTGGCTGTGTTCTGGTAGAACTTTGTTTATAAACAGTCATCACAGCCCTGATCCCTGAGGTAAGGGCCCCAGAGAGGAACTATCTGAACAGCAAGGGGCCCTGAGACTATGGAGCAAGGAGGAAGGGAAAGGGGAACACAGGAAAAGAGAACAAGAAAAGGGGAAGAGAGAGGAAGGGAGGGAGGGGGAAAGGAAGGGGGGGGAGAGAAAATGAAAGGGACAGAGTGGGAGAGAGGGAAAGGGAGGGAGAGGAAGGAAGAGAAAGGGAGAGAGGGAGATGATTCACTCCACCCCAGAGTCCCAGCTGAGCCCAGCCTTCCAGCCAGGACACCAGATACTGAGTGTGCCACTTCGAACATTCTAGCCCCGAATTGCAATCTAGCCCCGAACTGCAATCTAACCCCAGTGATTGCAACCCTGGTTAATGTCTCATAGAGAAGGCAAATACCTAGCTGAGTACAGGCAGCCCACAAACTCATAAGAGGTAACACAGTGACTATTGTTTTAAACCATTAAAGTTTAGGGTGGTTGGTTACAATGTTGTGGAAGGCAATGTTTTGCAAATTTGGCACTACAGACATTGTGGGCCAGATAGTTCTATGTTGTAGAATATGGTCCTGAGCATCACAGGATGTTTCATAGCATCTCTGGCTCACCCATTAGAGGCGAGTACCACCTTCCCCTCCCCCTTAGCCTGTGACAACCAAAAATGTCTCCAGACATTGCCAAGAGACCCTGGAGGGAAAAAATCACCATTGTTGAAAATAACCAGCATAAAGTAAGAATACTGGCACCAGCAGCCAGCTTCCCAACAAATGGAAGCCAAGCAAAGTCAGAAATGGTGAAGGCAGGGCCAATTTATGTTTTTCATAGGCCCTAGGTACTTTTGCCTTCATTATCCCCTTTTCTATAATTTTTTAATTACATTTTACGACTACATTGGTATAAAGATGAATAATAATCAGGGGGCCGGGGGCATAGCTCACTGGTAGAGCATATGCTTATGAAGGAAGACTATAACACAGCATCACTAAATGTATGGAAATTAAATATCATGAATCCTAAGCACTGTGCCTACTGGATATTTGCCCAGAATAAGTATAAAGATGGGGCCAAAGGCTATCAACTAGGTTCCTGGAACCAACCGTGCCTAAAACTTGACTCATTCCTGGATTTCTCAGTTTCATGAGTCAATAAATTTACTCTTTGCATTGAGTTTCTCCCACTTGCAACCATGTAGTCTCACAACTACAACAGGTGCATCCTGAGTTTTTACCCCCTATCACAAACTATGCACTCACTCTGCCATTAAGATCCCTTCTAGTTTTCTCTATCAGGATCATTTTCCAGCAAAAGTTCCCCAAACTTACACTTCCGGACAAAGTTGCTCACGTGCTTAATCTTCATCAGAGCAGGCTGGCTGCATTCTTCAAAGAGAACAAACAGGGCATCTAATATCCCTTCTCTGGAAAGAGCAGACATCTGCTGTTGAGTCATAAAGGGTGGTTTCCCCTAAAAACAGCAAACAGCAGATGGAAACACTGTCAATAATGAAAAGCTCTGATCAATAACATCCACACAGAGTAAATTGCAAGCCACCAACTCAACTAACTGCTCACGACACACTAACAGCACAATTTTGTAGCTTCCTTCTTTAAAGCAACATCAATTGACAGTCATTAAGTGATCACTTGTACCATTCCATTACTGTGAGTTTCTTTTGCCAGCACCTGGGAAGAAAAACACCAGAAGCGTGCCATTAAAAAGAAAAGGTCCTCCATTCTTAATGATCTGTGGCTCATGGGAACATTTACCCTGGGGCCCTACTAGTTCTCACATGTTTCCATCCCTCTGTAACAGGAAACAAAGACTGCCACTTCTTTCTCATGTACACACAGGTTTGTTAATACAATTTCAGTTTTTTTAATTCATTCAGAGTAGTGCAAATGGAGTAACTATCATAAATCTGTATTCCTGATCTGGAGGAACAGTTACAAATTGGCAGACTGTGTCTAGCCCACAGACATATTTTGTTTGGCCTGTAGAGTTTAAAATAATTTGAATTATCTGCCAATATTTAAAAATCAGATTTCAAAAAGAAAAAAAAAATGAAAATGGAATGTCTGGCTTCTCTGGAAACACTGGTGGAGTTAGCAACACTGCCCCTACATTCCTACTGGTGACACAGGGCTGGAGCTGCATGATCCCACCCTCTTGTCAGCTGATATGTTCTGGGGTTCGCTATGGACCTGATTCCCAGACTCCCACTTGGCCCACTTGGCTCATTTACATTCACTGCCTGGACCCCTAAGACTTGAATTTGCAGCCTTTTGTCTAAAGCAATGACTCTCATGTGCCAAGCCATGGATTGCATGGCGATCTCTCTGCAAAGATAGCAACCAACAGTTCCTCCACGTGCCACACCTCCCTTTCAAGACCTGGAGTCTACCTCTCCTCCTCTTGAATCTGTGCTATCTTTGAGACTTAATTAAACCAACAGACTTCGACAAGTGACACTATTCCAGTTCAGGGAAGAGCCCATAAGAACCCTAGTAGCTTCCACTTTGACTTTTTTGAACAAGTCAGCTGCCATATACAGAGGTTTAGGCTAGACCAGAGGTCAGCAAACTACAGCCCCAAGGCCAAAACTGGCCCACAGCTTGTTTTCATAAATAAAGTTTTATTGAAACACAGCCATATCCATTCATTTATATACTGTCTATAGCTGTTTCTGTGCTACAGTGGCAGAGCTGAATACTTGCCAAAGAGGCTGCATGTCCAAAAAATAGAAAATACTGTTATTTACGGAAAAAAATTAAGAGCCCTCAACCAGACTGCTAAATGAGGAAAAGATCTCATGGAGAAAAGAGACCATTGGAGAAACACTGAGGCGTCCCAGATGGCTAACAGCACCCAGATGTTCCAGTCCCAGATGTGATCTCTTTTATCACTGTGGCCCCCTGAAATGACTACAACTGATGACACAGGGTAGAGGAGAAAAACCACTTGGTTGAATATAACCAACACACAGAATCCTTTTTTTTTTTCTTAAATTCTTTTATTGGTACATTTTAGGTATAGGATACGTTTACGTTCATCACTGGGGGGCTGGGGATTTAGCTCAGTGGTTCCACCACCTGCCTCACAAGCGCAAGGACCTGAGTTCGATCCCCAGTACCAAAAAAAAAAATAGGGCCGGGGATTTAGCTCAGTGGTTCCGGCGCCTGCCTTGCAAGCAAGCACAAGATCCCAAGTTCAATCCCCAGTACCAAAAAAAAAAATACATTTATCATTGGGTACTTGTACCTGTACATGATTTATCTTGGTTCTTATTTTTTCCCCATTACCTGTGTGCCCTTCACCCCCTCCACCCTTCCCTATTTACATAGACTTTGTTTCCATTTTTTTCTTTTCTCATAATTTTTCCTTTCCCTTCTTTCCTTTCCCCTTCCCCTCCCACTTCCCCTACCCCTTTGGACCTTTTCTTCCTATTTCAAATTATCAATTATTCATTTTAATTGTTTTAATCCTTATTTACACTTTCTTAAGGAAAAAGAAAGTCATTGTTTCTTTATACTTCATGAGAGGTTTGTTACACACCACTGGATAATATCAATAGACTGGCTGCATCTGAATCACTAAAAACTAAAGAAAAAAAAAAGAATCTTTAGTCCTATTCCCAACCTCCTGATTTAAATTTTTTAGATTATAGATTAGAATGTTTTATTAAACAAGTTCCGTGGGAGATTCACAGCCCAGTCAGGCTTGGGAAGCACTCCATCCATCACTTTGCTACTAACTCAGAAAAATAAGATTCTTTGTTTCTTCTATTCTTCAGTGAATTTAGGCTAACTAGATCCCAAACATAACTCCGATTCCTAACAGACTTTTCAACAGCTTGCAGTGAACTAAGAAAGAATGAACACCACATAATCTCTCTTTCATAAGGCCAAATGTATTCAAATTTTAAATTTCTCCTTTATTCTGAAATTTTGTTCTTCCTCTTTCGATGATTCTTAAAATGCCTTTTCTTTAATAAATAAATAGGCTGGAAGATAATCGGTTTTCCTTTTTATTTGTTTCTTACATCTCTTTTTGTTTGTTTCTTACATCTTTACTTGTTTTTTTGTTTGTTTGTTTGTTTTGCGGGGGGTGGTTTGTACTGGGGAACAAACTCAGTATCTTGCGCTTGCAAGGCAGGCAGCAGAACCACTGAGCTAAATCCTCGGCCCCTTACATCTTTACTTGGTAAAATTTAAAAGTTAGCAAACCTACATCTGCCTGGCAATTTGTGAAGTTTTACTGGCTCTGGAAGTCTGCCAACCACTGACCTACAACACACTAGGAAGCACCACTGAGTAGGAAGAGACAAGGCAATCTAAGACCCAGTGTAAACATGAATGGAAAATAAACTTGCTACTGTAACTAAACCTCAAAAAAACTGTACAATCTGGGAAAAGAGCAGTACCTGTACCTGTCACACAAGGCAAATACTAGGTGGATGCCATACTTGAAATAATAGTTTTCCTAGGGCAAGAGGGGACTCACTGCTACCGTTTGGATGTGATTTATCTCCCAAGGGCTCATGTCCGGGAGTCTTAGTCCCCAGTGCAGCAGTGTGAAGATGGTGAAGGTGAGGCCTAGCAAGAGGCAATTCAGTCTTAGGGATTAATGCTTTTCCAGCTCTCAAGAGCTGTGTGTGGATACTACCATAAAAAGAGTTAGCCTGAGCCAGGTGTGGTGGCACATGCCTATAATTCCAGCATTCTGGGAGACGGAGGCAAGAGAATTGCATGTTCAAGCCCAGCCTGGGCAACTTAGTGACTTAGCAAGACTATGTCTCAAATTCTAAAACAGGGGCTGAGGATGTAGCTCAGTGCAAAGGCCCCGGGTTCAATCCCCAGTACTGGGGGGAAAAAATGAAGAAGGCCTGGCCCCCCCTGGTCGCTTCCTTCTCATCTCACCTGTGTAAATACGATCTCTTCTGCATGTGCTCCTGCCATGCAATGCCATCCACTGTGAAGCCCTCACAGAGCCAAACAAAAGTCAGCATGAGGCTCTTGAACCTCCGCTACTGTGAGCTAAATAAACCTCTTTTCTTAAGAAACCATCCAGTCTCACATATTTTGTCATAGCAACACAAAACAGATGAAGACAGTATTAAAAAAGAGATGAACTGAGGGTTTAGTAACAATCTTGCCTGGTATAATGATTTTAGAAGTAAAATAGTTAATAAAGCTTGACAAATGCTAGTGGTGTAGCCCAATGTTTGCATGAGAAGCAATGAAAATGAGAGACCCAAGATGGAGCCTGACGCTGCCATTTACAAGCTACTTATCTTGGGCGAGTCCTTGCCTACCTCTGTGCCTGTCTCCTCCTATTTAAAGTATATATAACTGGGCTGTGGATTTAACTCAGTGGTGCCGCTGCCTGCCTTGCAAGCACAATGTCCCAAGTTCGATCCCCGGTACCAAATAAATAAATAAATAAATAAAGTCTATATAAGTGGGCCAGGGATTTAGCTCAGTGGCACCGCACCTGCCTTGCAAGCACAAGGTCCTGAGTTCGATCCCTGGTACCACAAAAAAAGAAAAAAAAGTATATACAAAAACAGTCCTAGATAATAAAGAACATGCTGGTTCTGTGTCCAGAGCACTGAAGCCCATAGCTATCACATAATCAGCACATCATAATCCCTTAATAAATTACTTTGTAAAAAGTTGGGGATGTTTTCAAGTAAAACAGTAAATGAGCTTAAATGTGATGGCATTTCAACCGTCTAAGATTAGAGACAGGTCATTCACTTGTGAAAAATATCTCATGACTTAAAATGGTGATGAGGATGGTTCCACAGAACAACCTAGCTTCTAATTTACTTCCACTCTGATCCATTTGAATATTCCCCAATACATTTTTTTTTTTTTGTCTTGGAGATTGAACCTGGGGCCTTTGCACTGAGCTATATCCCCAACTTTTTCTTTTTCTTTTTTTTTTGCAGAACCAGGGATTAAACTCAGAATCTTGCACTTGCAAGGCAGGCACGGTGCCACTGAGCTGAATTTCTGGCCCTTCCCTTGACTTATTTTCTGGCAGTATCTCACTCAGTTGCAGGGCTGAGCTCTAACCTGTAAGCCTCCTGCCTCAGTCTCCTACATGCTGGGATTATAGGTGTTCACCACTGCTCCTGGCTCCCAACACTAATATTTTGAAAGAAACATAAATGTCAGCAAGAACATACTACTATTCCTCATCATACAGGTACCCCATATATACACCTTCCTAGATAAAATTAAGTAAACAGAGTCTTTTCTTTTAATTTTGTGAGACAGGGTCTCGCTCTATAGTTTATCCTGGCCTTGAACTCACTATGCAGCCCAGGCTGGCCTTGAACTCAGGCAATCCTCCTGCCTCAGCCTCCTGAATGCTGGGATTACGGGCGTGGACCACCTGGCCTGGTAACAGAGTTTTTTATAACTACACTTAGTATTAACAATAGTGACCACATAAAGGGCTTACCAAGGGCCAGGCAAGGTGCTAAGTGCTTCAGATGGATTATTTCATTTAATCCTCACAATAACTGTGAATTAAGTACCATAATCTCCATTTTAAAGAGTGGATTCAGCCAAGGCAATTGGCTCACCCAAAATAACACAGGTAACAAGCGCTCAAACCACGATCCAAACCTCCATCTTCACCACTATCTTATAGTGTTTGCCTGGCTTGTTAGTACAAATGTCAAAGATTCCTATTTCACTAGTGTTCCATGTACATCAATAACGAGAGGTAAGATGTGCCATGTACACATACCAATTCCCCATGGGATGAATATAACCATTATGTATTGCGAACACGTACTAATAAAATTAAAAATTTGAAAAAAAAAAGAAACAAAAGAATAGAAAAAAACAAAAGAAAAGCAACACTTGCAAATAATGTCATGACATTAAATTTTAACACTTCTGAGATGAAACAAATGTTATGTATCTGGAGAGGAATATGAGTTACATGGGTGTGGTATTTATCAAAATTGTTTTTATAAAAAACTAAAACATCACTTAAATGAAATAACATTACAGACGTTCTGGCAAAAAAAAAAAAAGAGTGCCTTTGTTCATTTGTTTTGCTTTAATAAAAGGACAAATTTTAGAGCAGAAGTGTAGATATGAGAAATAAGATCTCTCCAGGGTAAATTCCATTATCTAATGTTTATTTAGTGGGTCCTTTTTCCAATGCAATTAGAATATATAAAACAGCAAATAGAACTTCTCCTGGAATTCTATTTGACATAGAATCTTGGTTCTATAATAAAAGCAAAGGTGAACAACAAAGAGGTGTCAAGGAAACCCTCACTGGTAGGCAGCTTGTTACCTGGAAGAAGAGATTGAGCCTGGAGGCCCGGCTGGTAATGGGCTCAACAGCACCAGCATCCAGTGGATTCTGCGCTCCATATTTAAACTTCAACATCTCCCCACACGTGCTGAATGGATAAGGAAAAAAGCTCAAGTGTGTACTGACACGGTAAGCAGAAAGTATTTGACAGATCCTGATCTCCCTCAAAATGTCACAGATAGGAAGGTGAAAATCAGCCATTACCCACTTTAGGAGCTCAGTCTGGCCATGGACGTGAAACCTCGGGTTTTATTCCCTGACATGTGAAGTGATACGTTTCCCTGGCAGAGTCTCTTACAATTATGTTCATTACCTGCCTTCGCCCCAGAATGAAAGCACCACAAGGAATTTTTGTCCCCACATAGAGGGCACACACATAGGCTGGCATGTAGCAATCATGAATAAATAGTTATTGAGTGAATGACTGGAACAAGCCAACTATATAGTATATCAGCAAATGATAAGTTTAAAAAATAAATCAGCAAGATAAGGACATTTGGGGTGGGGCAGAGGAGAGGCGCAAGTTTTAACAGTGTAATCAGTAAATCTCACTGCCTAGGTAGCATTCGAACCAAGACCTGAAGGGATGGCCTGGAAGCCTTGCTGGTATCTGGAGAAAGAAAGATACAGTATCTCTGGTAGAGGGAGCAGCGAGGGCAATGGTCCTGAGACAGGACCTGACCTCTCCAACAACAGCAGGGAAGCCATAGGGGTTGGAGCACAGTGAAAGGGGTGTACTTTGAAAAACATGCTAGGGTGGGCACCGAGAGCACGCAGGCACTGAAACAGGGAATTTAATTCAACTGTTAGGGTCACACAGGTAATGAGGGGCTAACAGACTACTGCAGGTGAGGATGACAGGAGGGGGAACGGAATGTGCACAGGACTCTCCCATTTAATAGCAGAGCATGCCCTCCTGCCCCAGGAACCCCGCGGTGGACGCTTCGGATCCCGTGCAGGGTGGGCGCGCGCACAGCCAGCCCGGGAAGACCCTCCTGGCCCCCCGTAGCCCTGTAGGTGGAATCACCGCCCTCCCGCTGCATGAGGAAAAGCTGGGATTTGTGGGGAGGATGGAGGCAGCCCTTCCCCAGGCCTGGCAGAGGGAGGGTGTGGAAAATTGAGGGTGCGAGGAGCAGACTCACCCTCAGCGGACCCCTCAAGGCCGCGTTCCGCTCTGCCCGGCGCCTCCCGCCGCCGCGTTTGAACCTGGGGAACGGCGCGGGCGGGGCTCAACCGCGCCTGGACCAGTCAGCGTGCCTGATCCTATGACAGACAGCGGTACCTCAGCCGGGCCCCGCCCAAGTCCTTAAAGGGACGAAGGAAGTGAAGGGGAGGGCCAATCAAATTGTTTCTTCCTATGACTCGCGACCAATAGGAAAAGGGAAACGGCACACCCGGCAGGGTAGGTCTTGGAAGTTTGAAATTGGCGGTTACGCAGGATGCGGTGTGTGGGTAAGCGTCTGTTTGTCTAGGATCCCTTAGGGAGATCGCTAGGCGTTGTCCTCTGTTATGGCCACCTACGAAGAAGTCAGGCCGCTCATCCTGGACTTCTTGTCCTTCATACATGGCTAAAGTAGAAGCACTTGTTACTTTGGAAACCCAATTGGTTCTCTGGTCCAACTGAGTCAGCAAATGTTTTTTGGTTTGTTTGTTGGTACCTGGGATCGAACTCGGGTCCTTGCGCTTGCAAGGCAGGCGGCAGAACCACTGAGGTAAATCTCTGGGCAAGCAAATGTTTTGAACGTGAATTCAGCCTGCCTCAGTCCCTACATCTCTGGGCTGTTTGCCCTGAAACAAGTTAGTGAAGGTGATTGGGACCACCTGAAAGCACATTTTAAAATAAAGACAAGATAGTTGAGTAGGTAAAAAGAAATCCAAATGACCCCCAAATGTATGAAATGTGCCCAACTTCATTCATAATCAGGAAAAAATAATTTTTAAAAACACTAAGGAAAAAAAAGGATCTGATAGCATTTCCTAAGATGTGGAGCTAGTCACAGTCATACATAACTGATGGCCGAGGGAATTGGTATAATCTCTTTGAAAAAGAGTTTGGCACTATTTGCTTACATTGAAGAACTGTGCATTCTTTCACTACCCTTGGGAGTAGTTTCTCTATCTTAGAGAAACTTCTAATTATGTACACTGTGAGATGTGTACAAGAATACACAGTATAAAAGGGTTGTGCAACATAATGGCAAAAAAAAAACAACCTGGAAGCAACCGCATTAGGAAGAATAAATTTTTATATTGCAATATTTTCATTCAGCAATGAAAAGGAATAAATTACAGCCAACCACAATGCCATAATGAGTCTCAAAACAATGCCAAGGAAAGGAAGCAAGCCAATAAAGTATGATTCTATTAATATAAATTTCAAAAGCAGACGAAACAAAGCAATGTTGTTCAGGGAGGGAGTGATGTACATGTAGGTAGCAAAATCATAAAGAAATCAAGTCGGGATAGCAGAATCCCTAGGATGAAGCTGGAGGCCTTTCAGGGCTTCAGGAGTGCTGCTAGAATCTGTTCCTTAACTTGAATGATAATAATAGAATATTGTTTTATAATGATTAAATTGTGTTTTTCTTTTAGGTATGTAAAAATCTTTAAAGAAGGAGGCAGTCCTTTCCATAATCTTCTAATCTCTACTCTAGATAGAACTCAAGATGTATTATCACCCACACACATCAGCACAAAATCAAAGCTTCAGACTTAATACACATTTTTTCCCTGTATTAACTTGCTTTTTGTTGCTGGGGTTATAATGATAGCTACTATTTATGGAGCCCCTCCCCTTTTTATCAAGTATCATTTCATTTCATCTTTGCCACAGGTGTAGAGGGCAGGAACTGTAACCCCCAAAGTTGGAACAACCCAAATTTAAGAGAGATGAAGTGGCAATCCTGATCTTGCAGCTTAGGTGTTGGGAATGGGTTTGGAACTCCTGGGCCAATTATGAACTCCTTTCCTTTATGCAAAACCAGCTTTGGGCTGGGGATTTAGCTCCGTGGTTCCGGTATCTGCCTTGTAAGCACAAGGTCCCAAGTTCGATCCCCAGTACAAAAAAAAAAAAACAACAAAAACAAAGCTAGCCTCTCCAAAGGCATGAAAAATTCTCCCAGTCTCTACCTTTTTCATGTTGCAAGGGCTGACCCAGTTCCCTCCCTGGTAGGAGAGACACTTGCAGGTAGCCTACAAATGCTGCTTTTTTTTTTTTTTTTTTTACCAGGAATCGAACTTGGGATCCTGATCTTGCAAGGCAGGCAGCGGCACCACTGAGCTAAATCCCCAGCTGCTTATTTTTTAAATTACAAATTTGCTGTGTGTTAGGAAAAACTATAGCTAGTTTGTCAAACCAGGTATAGGTGAGATCACTTGGGGGTGAGATCACTTAGAATAAAGGAGATATTTAAGAAAGAAACTTTTGAGTCAGTAAAGAAAATGTTGAATGGTAGTACAGGTTACATGAATAAAGCTAAAAAAATTTTTTGAAATTTGGAAAACACTGGGCTATTGTTATCATCTCCATTTTGCCAACAGAAAAATTTAAGTTTCAAGAAGTTAAGTGACAGGCTATAAGTGCTACAGCCAGGATTTGAAATGGGCTCTTTGATTCTGTGGCTCAGTTTTTCTTTCCCTGGTACCAGAAATCGAACTCAGGACTTTGAGCTTGCCAGGCAGGCACAGCGCCACAGAGCTAAATCCCTGGCCCTGTGGCTCTTTTTTTTTTTTGGTTGGGGGATCAAACTCAGGAATCATGCCTTGAGCTTTTGAGGCAGGCGGTGGCTCCACTGAGCTAAATCCCTGGCCCTCCTGTGGCTCATTTTAATAACCCATCAAACCATAATGATTTCTACTAGGTTTATCCCAGCATCCAGGATGGAATAAATACTGCACTTAAAAACATTTGTGGACTAAGTGATGAAATCTTACTCCCTGCTTATTTGATTATGACTTGGCTTCTCATAGAGATAGTCCTGGAGCAGTGATTTGAGACCTTACAAGGACAAGGTATGATCAAAAAATACAGTGCATGGGGCCTGGGATTTAGCTCAGTGGTTCCGCCACCTGCCTCACAAGCGCGAGGTCCCAGGTTTGATCCCTGGTACCAAAAAAAAAAAAAAAAAGCCCAGAAAACAAAACAAGACAAAAAAAAAATACAGTGAATGTTTAAATTAAAAATTTATCACAGTAAAAGACACATTGCCACGGATCTCCCTTGAAATACTCGCCCTTTCTTTTAACACAATTATCTCATCATATTTTGAAGCTTTTTGAAGCAGTTCTGGAAGTCCTCTTTAATGAGTGTCTTTACACAGTGTGATAAAAAAAAAAATACTGTGAATGCTGTTGCTAAGTGCCATCCAACAGAAAGGCAGGCATGTAAAAACATTATAGTGTGTCCTTACCACCTTATTTATTGGATCTGGCACTGTGCAACTTCTGGCTCTTCCCTAAAGTCAAAATGACCATGAAAAGTAAGTGTTTTGAATCAATTTGGGACACTGAGACAGTCATAATAGTACAATTAAAGACATTAGCAAAATAAAACTTTCAAAACTGCTTCAGAAAGTGGCAAAAATGATGGGATAAATGTGTCTGAAGCAAGGGGGAGCATTTTGAGGGAGATTAATGGTCATGTGTCTTATACTATAATAATATTCTATTTAAACACACTATATTTTTCTATCACACTTCCTGTATCAGGATCACCTGGGTACATGTGTTTGTGTGTATGTGTGTGTGTGTGCGTGTGTTATGGTTTGGATAAAAAAAAATCCCCCATAAGGGTCATGAGAGATGGGGCTTTTGGAAGGTGATTAGATAAATGGACATTAACCTCACCAATAGATTAATCCATTGATGAGTTCATAACTGAATATGCTGTTAGAAGGTGGGCACCAGTTGGAGGTAGGCGACCACGCCTTTGAAGGATATATCTGTCCTGGCCCTTTCTTCTCTCTCTGTTTCCCAGTTGCCATGAGGTGAGCAGCTCTCTTCCTCTATAACCCCCACCGTGATGTTGCTGCCTTAGCACCAGCTAACTATGCACTGAAAACTTCTGAAACCATGAGCCAAAATGAACCTTTCTTCCTTTAAAATGTGTATGTCGAGTATTTTGTCCCCACAATAGAAAAGTGTTTGATGTACCTGAAGAGCCTCATTTCCTTGTTCTGGGAGCAACCCTAGGCTCCCTAAGTGACTTGCATGTGCAGTCAACATCAGGAACCATTTGCCTAGAGAGGGTGAATATACTACAGCACGAACCAAATGTCAGAGTGTATTCTTCATTGTAATTTTTTTTTCTTTCTTTCTTCCCCTCCTCCCACCCCATAATGGAGTTTGAACCAGGATGTCAGGCATGCTAAACAAGTGCTATACCAACGAACAATACCTGCATCCTCCCATTTATCTTTGTTTTGGTTTGCTTTTGTGGGGAAGCTGTTAGCTTTTCTTGGTTTGAGCCTGAGTCTTGCTATGTCACCTAGGCTAACCTCAAACCTGGATCCTCCTGTCTTAGCCTCTCAAGTACTGGGATTATAGACACCTGAATACCCATTGCAATGTATACACTGGCAATCCGGCTTCATCATCAGTCTTTATGAACAAGAGTCTGCTCCTGTAGGAGAACTCACTCTTACTCATGCAAAAAGTTACCTAAATGGTCCAGCCCTTATTCTGTGATCTGTTGTATTGAAACTAAAGAAGATAATAGCCAAATAATTTCACAGAAGGAAACCAAAAAAAAAAAAAAAGGATTCCACTTGGCTTAATTAGGAACTGGACCTTAGAATAAGTGTTTCATGTTTTCATAATTGGAATTTCATATGAAGAGAATTATACCAAAGAAAGAGGTTTGTAAATAATATATATAAATAAGGAGCATGATGCTTGGTCTCCTCTCCTGTTTTTTCCTTTTCTTTCCCTTCCCTTTCTCATACTCCGGTGATGTTCTATTTAGAGCAGAGGTTCTAAACTCAAATAAAAATCAAATTCTAGACACTTGTTTTCACTTCTTCCAGCCTACCAAAAATCAATTTTGTGGGGCTTTCATAAAAGTTTATTGAATTCTTGAGTGCACTAACTTCTGACTCTACACACATTGTTTGACCTCTTTGAGTCTAAATTTATGCCTATTGTGAAACTTAAGAGCAAAGAGAGGTGAAAAAGCTTTTTAAAATCTAAGGCCAGGAAATCAGATTGATAGAAAGTATTTGTAACTCACGCATC